GGGTTCAGGTCCATTGTTCATAGTGTCACAGTGAGTCATAGTCTACTCAGCAGCAAAGGCATAGATCTAGGGCCTGCCTCCTAACACTAATTGTATAAGGCAGTTCTACTATATCTTGGCTCTCTGTAAAGCTGGGAAAATTATACTAGTTTCTAAGTTTATGAATTAAATATTATAACTCTATGATTTATTTAACAATTGGTGATTTATAGAACTTCTCAATGCTTCTGTTCTCATGAAAGTTATTTACCTATATCCAATTAGCACTAATTGTGGTTACACTTGCATCTTATTGTCAGTCTGGCAATGTGGGTGTTCTCATGAATATAACTTAGGAGACTCGTTTTCCTTCTGACAGATATACATGCTTATAATCTAACTGAGCAATTAGTCTGTGAATATTTTAAAATTCAATTTAGGCTTCTTTGCAAGGAAAGAGAAACCCAATATGTTTTCCTAGCCCTTCCCGAATGTTAGCTTGCAAAGTTCCGGAAATACAAATTTATGATTTGAAATCTGAAGATCTCATTTAAAGCTATGCTACAATTTAAACCAATGAATGAATGACACTCTTATTTGGTAACCTGAATGTAAGTTAACCAGATGAATCTCTTCTCATTTCAGTCATTGAGCTAGTAAAGTTTCATAATGCCTAGAACAACCTTACTGGATCAATTTGGTTATCTCTTCTGTATCAAGAAGAAACTATTTGAGATTTCCCTTACCTTTTTTGGCACCATTTAGGTGCCATCTACTCGAGTACACCTCACTGAAATCCTATGAACAACAGATGTGAGCCCTGTCTTATGTCCTGTCCCATCCTCATCAACTCAGTCACATGTGAGCTCATTGCAGCAATCACTGTATCAGTCCATCTGATTAAGGGTCTTCCCCTTTTTCACTGACCACCCCCCCCAACTTTCTGAGCATATAATTTTCCAAAGAATTTACTCTCCTAACAACATGCCCAAAGTATGTGAGATGAAGCTTTGCTGTCCTTGCTGCCAAGGAGAATTGCTATGGAGCAGAGAGCTGGATAACGACCACAGATGACAGAAGAAGAATTGAGGCCTTTGAGTAGTGGTGCTAGAAAAGAGTATTGAACATACCATGGACTGATGAGAAAACTAACAGGTGTGTCCTGGTGAAGGTGAAACCAAGCTACACTTTGTAGACAAGGATTTTGAGAATCTGTCTTATATACTTTGGGTACATGGCTAGGATGGTCCAGTCTTTGGAGAAGGACATCATGCTTTGAAGGGTCAAGGGACATCTCAGGAGAGGAAGACTCTCAATGAGGCGGATTGACATAATAACTGGAGTATGTGAGGGTAGGTGTTTCAGAGGCAGTGAGATTGGCCCAGGATAGAGCAAGTCTCAAGCCTTGTGCATAGGGTCACTATGTGCCATGGTCAACTCGACAGCACATAACAACAATAACAACAACACTTTCCAAAGCATATTTATTTGTTCTTTCTTTGGTATAGTTAGTATTCTTCTCCAACACCACAATTCAAATGCCTCAATTCTTGTTTCTCATCTTTATTCTTTGTCCAGCTCTCAGAGGCATTCAAAAGGGATTCAAAAAGGCTACAGCCTGAATCAGGACATCTTAGTTTTCAAACTAATATCACTGATCGTCAGTATTTTGAAGCGGCCCCTGATAGCAGACCTGTCATCTCTTGGCTGCTGGTGCCAACAGTGTTAATTGTGGATCCAAGTAAGATGAAGTTGTTGACAGTTTCAATCTTTTCACCATCTATCATGATGTTGCTTATTGGTCCAGTGGTGAGGATTTTACTTTCTTGACATTGAGATGAAATTGATATAAAAGGCTATAATCTTTGATCTTCTTTAGCAAGTGCTTCAAGTCTTCCTGACTTTTAGCAAGCAAGGTTGTATCATCAAGTTTGTTGATTAGTCTTCCTCATTTTTTATGTTAGACTACAAGGTAAAAGAACACATTTTTTCATCTTTTATGTAGCAGTATAAAAATATTTCTTAATGTTTAGTGAAATAAACAGTAAAGTTGATTTGTGATCCTCTCTTGAGTGCCACTGTGTGATCCTCAACCAAGAGTTCTGAGCACTAGGTCAGCCAGCTTTGATCTTTTTGCCCTTTAGAGAAGATGTTGATGAATTCCATCATGTCGGTGCTGACTCATAGCGAGTTTCTGTATAAAAGAACAGAGCACTGTTTGATCTGGCCCCATCATCACACTTGTTGCTAGGTTTGAGCTCACCATTACAGTCACTGTCTGCTAGCCTTCTTGAGAGTTTCCTTCTTTCACCCTCATTACATCCCAGCAGCATTTCTAGGTTACAGCAGGTATGGTGCATGCCTTGAGCGACACATGAGGTGGTGGTTGCCAAGAAGTTTGTTTGCCAGGGCGATTTCCATCACCAGTTGAGAAATATCATTTAGAAATTTTAAACCCATAGGTACTATTTTCCTTAGATATTTCTCTCTCCTCTACTTTGCTACCTAATGTTATTCTCCTGAGATTGCTCCATCCTGATAACGTGTTTAAAATATGTGAGTCAACATATCATAATAATATATACTAAGCCATGCTTCTAAGGAGCATCCTGGCTCCACTTCTTTCAAGAAACATTTGTCCATTCTTCTTCCAGTAAGTTGAAGGACACACAAGAGGACTAGTGCTCTGTGTGTTTGGTACCTGGAATTACTGCAAAGAAAAGCAGCCTGTGCCAACAATGAAGTCACCACATGCTAATAGTTAATGCTCCCATTGCCACGAGCTCCTCTCTGCTATTTCATTTTTCCTCAGGCAATGCCAGCTTGAGAGGGTTAGTTGTGAGCACCACATAAATTGTATCTTCATCATACATGTTGAAATTGTAGGAAAACTGTTAATAATCACTATATTTGACTGTCCATCCTTTGGTGGCATAATCTGTAGAGAATAGCACTGCTAACCCAAAGACAGTTCTTCTCTGTCAGTTCAAATTCACCAGCTGGTCGGAGGGATAAAGATGGGCAATCTCCTCCTATGTGATTTACAGCCTGGGGAAAACCCGCTGGAAGATCAGCTTTGAGTCTATTACAACTCGACAGCCATCAGGGGTTGTTTGTTTGTTTGTGTTTTAGCATGTAATTGTAATATTATGTTACAGAAGACTATGAATGGGTCTTACTTCCTTTGTTGTTGTTCTTGTTAGGTGCCATTGAGTATGACTCACAGTGACCCTGTGAACAAAAGATCTAAATCTTGCCCTGTCCTGCACCAGCCTCATATCCTCCATCGTACTAAATCCCGTTGTAGTCTCTGCATCAGTCCATCTCACTAAGGGTCTTCCTCTCTTTCATTGACCTTTCCCAGCATGGTGTCTCTCTCCAAGGATTTCTTCCTCCTGAAAATAGGCCCAATGTAAGTGAAACAAAGGGTCACCATCCTTGCCTTTATGGAGTACTCTGTCTTTATGGAGAACTCTGTCTTCCTGAACGACAGACTAGTTTGTTGTTTTGATTGTCCATGGGATATTGCTATGCATCTGAGAGTGGGACAATAAATAAGGATGACAAAAGAAGAATCAATGCCTTTGAGCTGTGGTATTAGGGAAGGGTGCTGAATATCCCCTGTACTGCTGAAAGAACAAACATGTATGTCTTGGGAAAATGTGCAGCCAGAATACTCCTTGGAGACAAGGATGGCAAAGCTTTATCTCTCATATTTTAGACACGTTGCTAGGAGACACTGTTATTTGGCAAGGAATATCAAGCTTGGAAAGGTAGAGGCTAAGTGAAAGAGAGACTTTCAATGATACGACAGTGGATTCACACACCATAACGATGGGTTGAAATAGTGATTGCATCCATGATTCAAGTGTGTCAGAGATGGTGAGGAAGGCACAGGATAGGACAGGACTTAGATCCATTGTTCATAGCATTGCTATGAGTTGTACTTGATTTGACAGCACATAACAACAACCACCAACACCACACTTCAAAGACACTGATCCTTCTTCAGTCTTGCTTATTTTGAATATATCTCAAACCAACTTGATATGTTACCTATTACACAGAGACAGTCAAATATTTGTTAATACATTGGCTGACTATAGAACACAGGAAGAATGTCTAGTATTGAAATTAATGTATGTTGTTGTTGTTGTTGTTATGTGCCATCGAGTTGTTTGTGACTCATAGCGACCCTATGTACAGCAGCCCTAAACCCTGCTCTATCCTATGCCAATCGCATTGCCTCTGACACACCCATCCCGATTACCCCAGTCAGTGAATCAATCCACCTCATAGAGGGTCTTCCCCTCCTGCGCTGTCCCTCCACCTTACCAAGCATGACGTCCCTCTCCAAGGACCTGTCTCCTTACAACATGTCCAAAGTATGTCAGACGAAGCCCCAGAATCCTTGCCTCCAAGGAGTATCCTGGTTTAACCCTCTCCAGGATGAATTTGTTTGTTTTCTTGGTAGTCCACGGTTCATTCAATACTTTTCTCCAGCACCACAGCTCAAAGGCATCAATTCTCCTTCTATCTTCCCTAGTCATTGTCCAGCTCTCTGATGCATAACAAGTGATTACAAAGTCCATGGCCTGTATCAGGCGAACCTTAGTCTCCAGAGAGACACCGTTGCTCTTGAGTAATTTAGAGAGAGGTCCCTAACAGCAGACTTTCCCATCACGGTACGTCTTTTGATTTCCTGGCTGCTGGTGCCAAGAGTGTAATTTACACTATTTCAGATATAATACATACTGAATTTTTGTCAATATTAAGAGCTATATAAATGTTAGCTTCTGAAGTCAAGTGGAAGCATACAAATAAGTAAAGAGAAGGTAAAATCACTATCTTGAGTTTTTATAGAATTTTAGTATTCGCATATAGCTAATTCTCCTTCCTAATTTTTTAGAAGATGTATTTCAATCTAATGGTTTTTAAATAGCGCTTGAAAGATCCTAGTTAGGTAACACAATATAGATCAGCTTGTTCTTAGTTATTAATGGTTACATTTTCTTTTAAAGGCAGAAGTCAACCGTTTCCAAGATACAAAGAGACTCCTTCAAGATTATTACAGAGCAATGGAAAACAAAATCCCAATAGAAGCCAATAGGAAATTCACACGAGTCCCATTGGTCCAACTGGATAATAAAGAAATTTCAGAAAACCAACTTAAGTAAGCTGCCCTGTTCCACTGCCATGAACTTAAGCTTTGTGATTTTACACGTGTTGTTGTTATTGTTATGTGCTAACAAGTCAACTACAATTCACAGAGACTCGATGAATAATAGCTTTGAACCTTGCCTTCTCCTGAGCCAACCTCACCATGTCTGACGCCTCTGTCCCATTGCCACGGCCATCGTGTCAGTCTGTCTCATCAAACATCTTCCCAACCTTTGCTGATCCTCTACCCTTCTAAGTATAATGTCTTTCCCCAAAGGCTGGTCCTTCTTGGCAACATGCCCAAAGTATGCTTAAACATCACTAATAAAATTCATAATCTTTCCTCTGGAAATCTACAAGAGCTTTAAAGAGTAGGAATTTTTTTCCACTTAAGTTTAATTTACATGTGTCCCATTTACAGTGAATAGTTATATATTTTTTCCAAGAGATATAATGTGTTTTATTATCAAGTGTTTTCACAGGTTCTGGTAGCATAGTGTATAATATATTAAACTGCTAACTTTAATATTGTTGGTTCAAATCATCCAGCTGCTCCATAGGAGAAAGTCGTGCAACCTCTTACTGTATAGATTTACAGCTTCAGAAACCCAACAAAGGATCACTATGAGTCAGAATGGACTTAACAGCAAATGGAGACATTTTTCAATCTGTTTGTGGTGTCTTAGGGTTAGAGGGTCTTATACAAAAGATGAAGTAATCTTGATAAAATTTAGAGCCTGAAAAAACTAATGGAGAGTCCTCATGAATTCAAGTTCACTGACGGCATTGGAGTTTTGGATGCAAAATTCATAGATCTTCAGTTGTGTCTTCTAAGGAACCTCTAGATACATTTGAACTCTCAGCCTTTGGACTAGTAGTCAAGTAATTAAACATTTATGCTATCCAGGCACAATGGAAGAAGAGGCCTGGTGATCTGCTTCTATTAAGGTTGTTGTGTTGTTGTTTACCATGAAGTCGGATCCAAGGCATAACTGACCCTCCAGCAGGTTTTCAGAAGCAGTTAATCACATGGGAGGAGACAGCCCATCCTTCCTCTGGTGGATTTGCCTCCAGGTTGCAATGCAGTTTTTTACCACTAGGCCACCAGAGCTCCCTCTGTTCAGATTACAGCCAAGAAAACTTTATGAAACAATTCATCTCTCAGCACATGGGGTCACTATGAGTCAAAATCAACTTGACAGTATCTAACAACAATTGGTATTACAGCTTAGTTTTCATTTAGTATTTTAATTGCATATTACCTATTTTTGCTTTGTTTGCTTTACCCTTCCTTATTTTAAAAAAAAAAAAAATAGAAGAAGAAGAAGATTGGAGAGGGTTTGACCATGATAGATTGTTAAAAGGTTTTTCTCTCTCTAACATTCTTCCACCTAGTTCCATCAGAGACTCTGAGACCCACCTGCACATAAGAGTACACAGGAAGACAACATATACATCTTGACAAAAGTAAAAGAGGTGCTTAACTCAGCTATTGAAAAAGAACTCAGAAATTCTTTGCAAAAGGGAAGAAATTTCATCTCTAAGGCAATATTCAGTGTCAGATCCACTAAAAAGAGCAGAGTTGCAATGTCTAGAGTAGCAGTGCATCCTGTTCTTAGAATGAAATAGCAACTCAGGCATAATGGCAAAGCTATTAATGTTGGTTAGTGGGGGAAAAAATGGGCAAAAGAACAGCCAGTTCTTACTTTCTGCAAAAGCACCTCTGCACCAAATTCAAATGTAAATCACTGTTGTGGGCATGTGCATATGAGTCAGTCAACACCCCACCAACCAGCCAAAAACTCAACCACAGGCTCCTGAACGTACAGAGGAGAATAAGCGTTGAGCTAAGCATTTCCTACAACTTGTCTAGTTTATTTCTCCCAACAAGGCTTTATTATATTTTACCGGATCATCATTATCACTATTACTCTTATTATATTTGTATTATTCCAGGTTGATCTGAGCTCTCAAGAGTCAATGTCAGGTCTAAGTTCATATATGATAATGGCAAAGTTAGCAAGACCAGATTTTTTTCTCCAGGAAATAAACCCATACTCTCTTTCTAAATGATTGGCCACCATTGTTGCCCTCTGAAGCAAGGTATTGAGAAATACATTTAGTGTTTTCTTAACTATTAATACCTGGTCACACAGACTTTATCTACCTAGACACAATAATTGCCGTCAATTTGGAATGATTGAGATATGGCATTATTTCCTTTTTAAAATGCAATGCATTATTATGGCTAGGTGTAAACAGTAAATAGTGGATACTCAACAAATTCCCTTACATGCATGGCATACTGAATGCTGAGTTTCACAAACTTATTGGATGCTTCACAACAAAATTAGACTAATTCATTATTCACACTTACCTTTCTGAAACACTCTTCTGTTCTCCTGGCATCTAGAGTCTGCAGAATCAAATATGTGCTCCTGTTAGTACTCCTTGCAATCAAGGGTAATGAGATTCCAACTCAGATGTTTTTAATCAGGCATTTTATTAGGAGGGAACAGTTTCTGAAGAAAGACATAATGGCTGGAAAAGTAGAGGGTCAATGCAAGAGGAAGACCCTCAACAAGATGGACTGGCACAGTGATTGCAGCAGTGGGCGTGAGCACAGCAGGGATTGTGGGATGATAGGAGTTAGGGCAGGGATTCATTGTGTTGTGCATAAGGTTGATATAAGTCAAAGACAAGTTGAGAACACCTAATAGCAATAACAACATTGTCGTTCCTAACCTTCCTTGATTTTTAACAAAGGCATCCTTGGAGGTCCTCTTTGTCCACTCCCACCCCAAGCAGTGGGGGCTCTTTGTACCTGCCCTGAGGGTGGACTTCTATCACAGTAAGCATCCACCTTCCACCTCTCAGCCTTCAGGCCATCTAAGCCTTTCAGTGTCATTTAGACACTGAAAATTTGAGGAGAGAGAATGTGACCAGAAACAGTGGAAAAACGTCCAACTTTTGGTTGAGAGAAAAGTAGATAAGGCACTGTCTAAATTGACTCTGTCCATTTAAAATGCAGAGCAAAGTTTACCAGTCGTCATTGAGAAAGCTACTGGAGCTTCTCTTTGCCCTCTGCAAATCTTGGTTGCCTGTGTGAGGTAGCCCAGTACCCCTTTCAAACCTCACAGCTGCTCATACTACTTTCTAACTTATCTACTTCAGGATGCCAGTACTTTTTATCTTAACCTGAGGACATCCGGTTCCATTTGGTTTAGTCTTTTGTGTCTGATTTCTTTTTGGTCAGGTGTTTATGCTCTGGATCAATTTCTTCAAAATTACCTTTTTTCTAATAACCCTTGCCCATCTCATTATTTCTGAGAGTGTATCTGGAAATGATATTTTATTGTTACTATTTCTTTTTTGTTTTCCTTGGTAGTAAGACTTTCTACAACACACACGCACAAAGTCAATATACTATTTTATGGGGCTTTTTTTTCACTCAAAAAACTCTTTCAGGAAAACTTTGGATATAAAAATTAAAGCAACTAAATAAAATTTGCAAAGTAAGCTAGCCACAAAAATATAAAATCTTTATATCCCTGTCTTTGTTTTTTCCAAAGGATTCCTCTAGTTCCGCGAATATCCATTTTTCCAGAAATAACTGTAGCCAAACCAAAATTAAGAACATTACTGAAGGGCAAGATGGACAACTTATTAGAAAATATAGAGACAAACTTGGAGGCAGATGAGAAGTTGGTTATGGACACGTGGCAACAGGCTTCTATAGCGATATCCAACATGGTAAGTCGCCATTGCTGTTACATTTCCTTTTAGTTATTGTTGTTGATTGTCTTTGAGTCGAGCACAACTCGTAGCGACCCTATGAACAAAAGGCCTGACCCCCACTACAACTATTGACATTTATGAACGTTCATAGAGTTTCCGGAGGCAAGTTGTTTAGGAAGTGGGTCAGTTAAATAGCAAGTTGGATTGAATGCTTTTAAGCATTGTTTGTATCTCTATTTTGAATAATCGTCAGTAAGATTTTACTTGCATGTAATATTAATGATTTTGTCTGATGATTTCTGCACTTTCGTTGGTTTTTTTGGAATGAGGACAAAAATGAATTGCTTCCAGTTGGTTGATGAGTTCATGTTGTTGTTGTTATGTGCCATCAAGTCACCTGCAACTCATAGAAACCTTATGTATAAAAGCTCTCAACCTTGCCCTATCCTGAACCAGTCTCACTGACTCCAGCACCCCTACCTCCATTAAGTTCTTGTGTCAATCCAACTCATGTGAGGTTTTCTTCTCCTGCACTGTCCCTCCACCAACGCATGATGTCCTTCTCCAAGGATTGGTCCCTTCTGGCCATGTTCCCATAGTATGTGAAATGGAGCTTTAAAATTCTTTTCTCCAAGGAGAAACTTGGCTTCACCCTCTCCAGACCTGTTTGTTCTCTTGGCAGTGCAAGGTATGTTTAATATTCTTCTCTACACCACAAAACAAAAACATCAATTCTTCTGTCATGCTTAGTCATTGCACAAATCTCTGATGCATAACAAATAATTGCGAAGATCATGGCCTGGATCAGGCAACTTTAGACCCTAGACTGACATCCTTACTCTTTAGCTCTTTGGAGAGGTCCCTTAGAGCAGACTTCCTAAATGCAATTCATCTTTTGATTTCCTAACTGCTGGTGCCAAGAGTGTTGACTGTGGAGCCAAGCAGGCTGAAATTATTAAAAGCCTCAATCTCCTCTCCATCTATTATGTTGCTGCCAAATGGCTCAGTGGTGATAGTCTTTGTTTTCCTGATACTGTACTTCAATCTCTATTGAAGATTACAGTCTTTGATCTTCTGCAGGAAACACTGATACTGAACTTCAATCTCTATTGAAGATTACAGTCTTTGATCTTCTGCAGGAAACACTTCAGGTCCTCCTTAGTTTCTGTAAACAAGATTGTGTCATCTGTATAATGTAGGTTGTTGATGAGTCTTCCTCCAATCGTAATGCCACATTCCTCCTCATAAAGCCCAACCTCCCAAATGATCTGTTCTGCATACAGATTGAAAAGGTATGAAGACTGGCCATATCCCTGATGCATTCCTTTCCTAATTTTGAACCATACACTGTTTCCTTGCTCTGTTGCGACTGTTACCTACTGGTCCCAGTATATGTTTTGCATTAGCACAATCAAGTGTTCTGGGTTTCCCATTCTTCTCAAGGTTAGCCACAGATTATTTGTTAGGATCTACACAATCAAATGACTTTACATAGTCAATGAAACATATATATTCCTCTGGTACTCTTTGCTTTCCACCAAGATCTCTAGTGCCATGGCCTCTTCTAAACTCACCTTGTATTTCTAAGAGTACTCTGTTGATGTACTGTTCCAGTCATTTTGGGATCATCTTCAGCAAGATTTTGCTTGAATGTGATATTGGTAATGTTATTGTTGTTGTTTTTGTTGTTATGTGCCGTCGAGTCATTTGCGACTCATAGCGACCCTATGTACAACAGCCCTAAACCCTGCTCTATCCTGTGCCAATTGCATAGCCTCTACACACCCATCCCGATTACCCCAGTCACTGAATCAATCCACCTCATAGAGGGTCTTCCCCTCCTGCGCTGTAACTCCACCCTACCAAAAATGATGTCCCTCTCCAAGGACCTGTCTCTCCTTACATTCCAAAGTATATCAGACGAAGCCCCAGAATCCTTGCCTCCGAGGAGTATCCTGGTTTATCCCTCTCCCGGATGAATCTGTTTGTTTTCTTGGCAGTCCAGGGTACATTCAATACTTTTCTCCAGCACCACAGCTCAAAGACATCAATTCTCCTTCTATCTTCCCTAGTCATTGTCCAACTCTCTGATACATAACAAGTGATTGCAAAGACCATGGCCTGTATCAGGCACACCTTAGTCTCCAGAGAGACACCGTTGCTCTTGAGTACTTTAGAAAGTTCCCTAATACTGTTTGATAATTTCCATACTTTATTGTGTTACCTTTTGGGGGGGTGGGGAATGGGAATAAATAAGGATGTTTTCCAGTCAGTTGGCCAGGTAGTTGTCCTCCAGATTTTTTGGCATAACCTGTGAGCACGTCCAGGGCTGCATGTGTTTGTTGAAATATGTCATCAGTTCCTGGGGCCTTGATTTTTTTTCCAATTCCTTCAGATCACCTTAGACTTCATCCTGCATCACTATTACTTCTTGATTATATCTTGTTTCATGGAATTATTCTGTTTCAGTAAATTCTTCTTGGTATAGTGACTCTGTGTGTATTCCTTCCATCTTCATTTGATGCTTTCTAGATCACTGAATATTTTGCCCATAACATCTTTAAGTATTGCTACTTGAGGCTTGAGTTTGTTCTTTAGTCCTTTCAGCTTGAGAAATGCCAAGCAAGTTCTTACTATGTTTTCTTTTGTCTTCCTGAGCTGCCCTTTGAAATCTTCAGTTCCACTCTATAACTCTTGATTTCTTCCCTTTGTTTTGAATAGTAGTTGTATTAGGAGGCACTCCTGGCATGCCTATGGATATCGTATCCTAGCATTAACAATGTGGTATTTCAAGACAGACCTTGAAATGTTCTTTTTGATACCTAACATTCAGCTTCAACATGCCATTCCCAGCATAGTATAGCCTGTGATTTTCTGATTCAAAATGGCCAATGCAAGTCCATCTCAGCTCACTAATGCCTAAAATTTCCAACTTGATATATTCTATTTCTTGTTATACTTGGACCAGGAAGCAGTTCTCAGAACTGAGCAGGAAAACACTGCATGGTACAAAATCAGGAAAGGAGTACATCAGGGATACATCCTGCCTCCATACTTTTT